GAGCAACATTACGAATGGTATAACCACCTCCTCCCAGCATCAGCATAGGTAGGTTGAAGCTTTTGACAAATTCCACACACTTGGCATGCCCTTTGGAGGAAAGGAGGTTGCTGAGTTAGAGGAACACTTAGCCAAACCCTGCCCACCCACACTTGTACTACACCTCACCTTTGATGGTCAGATTGAAGCAACCCAGGCGATCTCCAGAGAGGGAGTCTGAACCACACTGTAAGACCACTGCACTAGGCTGGAACATCTCCATTACTTTGGACATGACCTAAAAAGACACATCTTGGTCACCATCAACCTCAAGAAAAGCTAAGTGAGGTTCAGGGGTGGGCACAGCACTTTCTTCTATTCCTTATCATCCACTCCTACCTTCCCACTCGCCTTCATGCTGTGTGGTATAGAGAAGGGAGTTTTCCAATTTGAAAGACTAAGACACTTTTAGCTCCAATAACCCTGCACGTAGAATGGCCTTCCTGTCAACTCCCTAATCTTTCCTTTCTTTCACTGCCCAAGCTCCAGTGCCACTTCCTTTAGGAAGTTTTTCAATCCTTGGCTCCATCTGGCCTACTCATTTGCCTTATAGGTTTTAGGCCTTCGAGAGGAAGCACTTTACTTTTGTATACAGTAGTATTATAACTACAGTCTAGTTTACTGAGGACAGAGAATGGTCTCAGACTTTTCTGTCACAGTTACTACTAGGCATATAGTAGGTACCTGTTGCTGAGTAACTACTTGACCCTATTAGACTAGTACTCTATTATAGTTTCGCAATGCTTATAAAGATTTAACTCCTGTTTTGTTTTGGTTTTTTGGTACCGGGGATTGAACTTGGGTCCTTGTGCTTGCAAGGCAGACAGCGGAACCACTGAGCTAAATCGCCAGCCCTAAAGATTTAACTCCTAAGCATGGTGTTGAAGCCTTCCTTTGAAATATGGACCCCCAAATCCATTTTCTATTACCTCCTTTTACCTTCTCCCACATCATACTGGCCCACAAGTCACTCCATATTTACATCTCTACTTCTGCTGGTGCTGTCCCCTCTGCCAAATCCCATCCCTTCAGTCCCCACCTCCTTCTTCACATGGGTACCTCATTTTTCAAAGTCCAGCTCAAATGTCACCACCTCTGTGAACTCACCCCTGACAACCCTCTCCCCAACCCAAGCAGCAGTTCATCACTCCTGCTCATCCTTCAAAAACACAGGCACCAGGCCAGCCTGCCTGAGGACTCCAGCAGCAAGCGTGCTTGCAGAGCGTGCCAGACAGCCTTCCTCAAATATCTAGAAGGGCTTTCCCAGACAAAGCCAGTCTGCAAAGTCTGGAATAAGTCCCTATTCTTCAAATGTACAGATATCAAATAAGGCAAAAGGAGTATGAAAAACCTAGCGGGGCTGGGAATTTAGCTCAGTGGTTCCGGTGCCTGCCTCGAAAGCTCAAGGTCCCGAGTCTGATCCGAGTTGAACCCAAGAAACGCAACACCACCAAAAGAACACAACAATCTCCCAGACCAGTGTTGGCAAATCTTTAAGAGTTTTCAATAATAATAAACAGCTGGGTGTGGTATGCACGCC